TAAATTGTTATGACTATCACTTCAATAAAAAAATCTTTATCGATGAATTTGTAAGTTAAAATTTCATTTGTTGTTGTAGGTCTCTTTTTTTGTGGTGTTCATTTCATACTAGATCAATTTATTCTCTTTAATTTGTATATTGTTACAAACTTATAAAAGTAACCTTTATTTCAATTCAACTATGATGATTAGATGATTTAAAGAACCCTTTTTTCTACAGGGAACTACTATCCATGCTTTTGTCAGTATAAGGTTGAAGAAAATCAAGTGGTGTGAGTGTGACTGATAAACAATACATATAAACGAGATGCTCTTACTCTCCAGCCAAGGTAAACAAGCATTCACAATACATCTTGGTAAGGTTTCTTGCAGAAGATTCTTATATCGTCATCTGTTACCAGTTTTATAATATAACTTCATTTCTATCAAAGACTAGTTCCTTTTCCTATTGTTGTGGCCAAACCTATCTACCCCTTAACAAAAATCAACCTAAAGTGTGAATGTTTGATGATTATGGTTTGTGTGATACGGCTATATGCATTACCCGTGTTTAAGGATGACAAAAGAATAAATTTCAATTGAGATTTGAGATGCTCTTCATGGATACATGTTAGTCGAAAATTCACGTTCTTGGAAATATTAGTAATTTAAATAAAGGTTTGTTTGTTTTTATATAAACTCTTGTTTCTTCTTTAAGTGCTGGAATATTCAAATGCTCACATGAACTTTATTTAGTTGAATCTATGTGTGTATTCCAAAGCTTTGTAAAATGTTCATTACTAAAAGAATATTTTAGAGCTCCTTACTTTTACTTAGTGAATATTTTAAAGCTATGCATATAAATTATACGAGTATATGTTATGTGTTACTTGTTTTTAGAATCACACGATACAGAACCATGATTAATTGGGATTGGTATGTCGAAAAAAAGAAAAAAAGACATTTGACAATACCTGTATTATTACTGTTTTTTATCCAAGCAGGTATGGTTCTAGCTTTTAAACAAAGAAAAAGCAACACAGAATAAGTACACTTCTTTATTATTGTTGTCTTTTTTAATCTAAACAAGTATGTCTTTGATAAGTTTGCTTATTTTGGCACAGGTAATAGTACTAGACTTTATCTCCCGCCGAGACACCACTTTTGCCTAAATTTCTAGGAACGAACAGCCGTCACTAAAGTTAGTTTTGCTAAATCATCTTCATAACTTTTATGCTTTTGATGATTTAGTACCAAATAATTAAAGAAATCATCCTTTTATGCTTTTCCCGTTTATGCAAGATGGTGATGGTCAAGTATGTAGTGAGGGTGAACCGGTAAAATGCTTGGAAAAAATGTCATTGGCCGAAACAAAGTAGATTAATAATAGAGCTTCAAGATTTGGAGTTTTCACTACATATGATCTTCTGAATATATTTGTGTGTAAATAATACTCCACACATGGTACTAAATCTATTTTTATCATGTCTATATAATTGTCTGAAATTGAAGCTCACTCTTTGGGACATAAGCATATACCGGAGTACATGATTACCAAATTAAAGTGAAGAATTGCATTGAACGAACATTTGACAACTTTATTACCCAAAATTAACAATTCTATTTTGCACACCATCACAATACATGGTACATGGCTAAAGACCAAAGCATTAATTATTTGTTACGTAGTTCTACGGGGTATCTCCTTTATATATAAATTTTTGACTCCAAACCATGAGAAGCTTCCATTTGGCACTTTGAAAACTTGCCATTTTGCACTTTTTAACGTTGGGTTTTTGACAAGTACGCGTCTCTTCTTCGCCTGTCCAAACTTACACAGCCCCTTCTTCAGCGTAAACATCTTCCGATTCTCTCCATTTCAAATTCTTTCTAAGCGGAAAATTCGATCTCCTTCCTTCTTCAGCAATCAGTTGATTTTCTATGCCTACTCTCTGATCTCCTTTCTTCCGCAAGGGAAATCCAATCCACCAATTCGACTCACCAAAACTCCAAACCAGGTTTTCTTCTCCTTCTTCGTTTATCAGTTAATCCCAAAATTGAATGTTCTGTTTATTTTCCTGCTTTAAACTTGTGGTCTTTGTTTTTTTCCGCTTCTGCATTTCTATTTTCTGTTATTCACTAGCGCTTAATTATACTATGGGTTAGGTTTTTAATTGTCTGTATAAATTGTTATGACTCACTTTAATAAAAAACATCTTTATCGATGAATTTGTAAGTTAAAAATTCATTTGTTGTTGTCAATCTCTTTTTTGTGGTTTTTATTTCATACTATATCAACTTATTCTCTTTAATTTGTATATTGTTACCAACTTATAAAAGTAACTTTTATTTCAATTGGAATATGATGATTACATGATTTGAAGAACCATTTTTTTCTACAGAGGACTACTATGCATGCTTCTGTCCGTATAAGGTTGAAGAAAATCCAGTGGTGTGAGTGTGACTGATAAAGAATATATAAAAACAAGATGCTCTTACTCTCCAGCCAAGGTAAACAAGCATTCACGATACATTTTTTGGTAAGGTTTCTTGGACAAGATTCCCTGATATCGTCATTTCTTACCAATTTTATAATTAACTTTATTTCAGTATATTCTTGCTTTCAATTTTGCTTAAAATGCAAAACTATACTGAAATAAAAGTGTGTTTAAAATAAAACTTACTAAGTACTCCCTCTGTCCTAAAACGTTCTGTGCATTCCAAAGCTCTATATGGATGATGTTCATTACTAAGTGAATATTTTAGAGCTCCTTACTTTTACTTAGTAAATACTTTAAACCTATGCGTATAAATTACACATTATGTGTTATCTGTTTTTATAATCAAATGATACAGAACCATGATTAATTGTGATTGATATGTCGAAGAGACTAACACATACACACACATACACGAAGTGGTTAACAAAAGAAAAAGCAAAATGCCTCCATTTGTTTTCGATTATAATGTTATTTGTTCATACTTTCTCAACCTAATGATGAACACTGAGCCAATGCCTCCATCTCTACTTTGAACTTGGGTAAGCTTTCCCATTAATCTTGGCGAGTGAGCATCCTACTATTAAAGTCAAGGAAGAAGCTCAATTATGGTTATATGGTATTGATTGGGGTTTTATCTCAAACAATCATGTGTTCAAATTGCTTAACATATATTGAAATAATTATTTTGTGTAACTATGGACTATATATACGGTGACAGTGCATAGCCATCAGATCTTGGAGGGGAATTTAGGATATTGTCGTGAGCAATTGATACAAGGTGCTATGGCTTTGTTCAAAATGTTCAGGGTGGGAAGATGATTGATTTGTTCCACTTGAAAAGCTTTCGCATGAAACGGGTTGTGCAATTAAGGTTCCGGTTTATAGACTTCGAGAGCTCATCAGTATGGCTTTGGTATTGATTGATGAGGACTTGAGGAGGTAATTGTTTAAGCTAATTGAGTTTTTGCAGTGTCTGTTTAATTTTTATTTGTTGTTTAGTTTAAACAAGATGGGGTTTTATGAATTAGGGTTCTTACATATATGCCAACATCAAAGGGAATTTTACCCATTTGTTCCATGATTTTCTTAAAGGTGGTATATATTACCGTACATACGAATTTTGGGGTGTCAACAAAATGATGATCCAATTGTATGCTGTCTCATTTTCTGGAGTTATTGATGACAGGTGTTCCAGAATCTCAATGCATCATTTCATTTTTTTTTTTGAGTTTGATAAAGTTGGCTTTGGGCTTGGCCAAGTCTGCATCCTGACAGGTTTTGTTACTGTGGAGTATGTTCTTACGATTCTCTATTATCTTTGGTGCTGTATGTATGCTTAACAAGCTGTTTTGTTTTAAGAATTGGCTTCATCAATTGTGAGGATTTGGCTTCTGACATGGCCTTTTTAAGGTGAGTTGGCCGTATTTTTTGCCACTGTGTTTATGAACCTCCATTGATTTCTTTTAGCCCTCTTCCTATTGCCGTTCTTCTATTGGAGACTTCTTCTTCACTGTGTTATGCAGGATGGTCTCCTCTCCTCCGCTCAGCCCGTCGGTATTCTGCTGATCTCCTCTACATCTCGGCCTGTGTCAGGCTCTCAGTGCTCTCTCAAGATGAACTGCTTACATGAATCTGAACGCTTCCGGGCCTTCCAACACTGTGCTTCAAACTGTGGTTCATTTCTCCAGAACGTTCATGGTCAAACTACTTGGAAAGGTCGACTCATTTTTGCAGAATTACTTTTCTTTCCCGTGTAAATTGTTGATTTTTTAAAACAGATTCATTGCATTTGTTGGGGTGTGCTTGATTGTCCTTTATTTTGATCTTTTGAATTTAATGGACTTGATATCGACATGTTCCTTCTCAACCTACTGGCCTACAACGGCAGAGGAAATGACATTGCTTGCTTATGTAAAATCAAGAATAAAAGCTTTGTAGACCAGTTATGTCTGTTTTTTAAGTGGTTGGAGTTTTGAAGATTGAGTTATATGATCTTTGCTTTGACTTTCTTTCATAAAGAACTATTTGTATATTGTTTGGTAAGGTTTCATTGTAAATGTTTTGTTTACGTTGATTTATTTATTTATCACACACACACACACATATATAAAATAGGTTTCTTTGAGTGTGAGGGTGACACGTGGTTGGTGACGTGGAGTACGACATGGCGTTTCCTGTACGACATGACGTGGAGTACGACGTGGATATCTAATAGCCCACAAAGGTGGAAGCATCAAACACACAAACTATTTGTTGATTTTCCTCACCCACAAAAACAGCTTCTTTACTTCTTTATCCCACATTTTCATTCAAAAAAGTAATGATCAAACTCAGCTTTAAACTCCAATCACTCACTTTAGTTGACTGATTGATATTTTCCAAACTGCCTTAATTATTCTTTAGACTCAGCTTCATCACCATCAGTGTTTTGGTTTGCCATCGTTACTGACACTGCAAGAGAGGCAGATCTCCATGAACGAACCAGAGTAGTACTTGCTTGCACTGGTTGAATAAGAACAGATCCAAAACATAAAATACCAAAGATGCCTCAGTCATATAAGACTCTGAAACAAGGGTATTTTTTCTCTCTGCTTTTCCCCCAATGACTCTTCATCAAAACTAAGTTTAAGCTATTGGTGGTTTCAAAAGGACAACTCCACAAATATACTTGTAAATTATTAGAAGAAGATAAATAGTTCTTCAAGTGTTGCCTAGTAAATCAAGGGATTCATTTGTGTGGCAGGTTGTCCGCTGCGACGCAATATCTTCCCAGATCATTTTCTATAGGAGTATATATTTTTGTATATGCCCATGTAGCTTCTGCCCCATCTAGGGTTCCCCGGACAGGAGCATGCCGATCCTATCTTCCATGAGTAAGTGCCTTGTTCTTCTCCTTGTACCTCCTGCTTTTTAGTGAAACCAGTAAAATCTGAACTTTGATGGGAAAGTAAAAGTTGGCTCAAACTCAATAAATCAAAGTCTCTGAATATCTCCTTGTGCTTATTTCAGGTACAAAGTCCTTTTCAATCCAAGCACCACTAACATCGTCTGCACGCGGCTACAGGCTAAGCCTTAGCAATGGGCAAAATAGTAATATGCGCCGTACAACGAGTTCTTCAAGCAGTTTCCCAACTGCCGGACGTACGACAGTGGCACTGGCTTCGTCACCGCCACTCTCCGGGCACTGACCGAGCAGCCCGCCCCGTTGACCGATGATGACCAAAGGCACGAACCGTCACTCCTGGGGGGCAATTGTGAGCATAATTGATTTAATAGGGTCACGTCCTCCTCCTGGGGGCAATTGTGACCAAACACACATAATTGTGACCAAAGGAATCTATCTATCAATCTTTTTTACATTTTTCGAGTCTTCATGCTAGAGTGGAAATTATTTAATAGAATGAGCAAAAATCCACATTTTCTTCCCATTTTTTGTTTCCACCCACTTCTTCTTCCAATACTCATCTCTATTTTCTTGGCCTAACATTTGAGTACATTGAGGTATTTCTACATAGTGCCTTTTGAAGCCTTACATTGGGACTTCTGGCTGTCATTACCTAAATAAAACCTCATTGTATGAGTTTTTAAGTGATGTTTTACGTAGCATAAGAGTTTACCTAAATAAAACCTCATTGTTTGGTGTGAAATATGATTACTGAGTTTAAACTGTTTATTTTCGTAAATGTTTAAAAACATGGCCCGTAAATGTTTTCAAAAAAGGATAAAATTATTTGTACCCCAAGTTTTTGTACTCCACTTTGTATCCTGCAAATTTGCACCAACATTTTATGTTGGTGTAAAACTAATTTTTGTTAATGCAGCAACACTTTGTGTTTGTGAAAATTTTTTGTTAACGCACCAATACTTGTGTCGGTGTAAACCATCAAAATGTTTGTGTATAACTGCTTGTACAAATGGGGTACAATTTGTGGTGTAAGCGTAGCATGACCCTTTTAAAAAATGGCCAAAATTATTCCTGGAAAGATACAAAACTTTAGTTTCCTACTTTCCAGAAAATAAAAAGCTTTAATTATGGATTACGGAGTACTATTTAGCAAATCTTATGATACGAATATCGTATCGGATAGAGAAGAACTTCGAGCGTTCTTCAAACTCCAAGAAGAAGAGGTAGAGAAGGATGGAAAACTTCGAGCGTTTCCGGGCTCCAAGAAAAGAGAGACGAGAGATTAAGAAAATTCTTGATTATTGATTGATTGAATGATAATGATACAGGATTACAATATATAACGATGAGACGTCCACCTTTATGACCTAATGGGCTCGGGCCCATACAAAAACCCTAATCTATAGAATATTAATAAATAATAATAAATACCTACTAAATAATAATATAACCAATTAAAATATTCTAATTAACTATCCGTATCATCTTATTTTAAAAATACTTACTCCTTATTTTAATACTTAAAAAATACTGTATTTTTTTTGCATATATAAAGGTTATGGGGACCCTAGCTCCATGCAATGATTTGGCGTACATGTATTTGTTATTAGATGCTTTTAAAAATAATAATTGACATTGGGCTTACTAAATTCAGTGCGATAAGCTTTACCAATGAGTACATGGTCATTTGTTATTAGATACTTTTAAGATAATAATTGACATTTGGCTTACTAAATTTAGCAATTTAATGAGATAAGCTTCACCAATGAGTACATGGTAGTATACAAATATTTACCGTGAGACTTAGGTAATAAAACTTGAGTAATAATGTACTTCCTCTCAGTGCTTTCTCAGATCCGATGGGATGGTCACTGAGAAAAGGTAAATTATACTTTAACTCCAAATTGATAACAGATAGTAGAGCTTGCACCTAGTACTTAGCTTGCAGAGACTCTAACATTGTTGCATCCTTGTACTGTAAGTTACCAGAAATTGAATTTGGGTCTACCCTCTTGATATTCTCGATCTCTATTTACCAACTACGCAACACTCTTCGACATTAATAATACGGAGTAAGTTGAAAAAATAATAGAAGAACTAATCATCAAGGCTCAAGCTGTGTGATCATGACACAATGTACTCCCTTCGTCCTACTTGAAACTTTACCTACACTATGCACAACATCAAATTTTACACTTCTTTTTCTTAGTTTTGTTACCCGTTTGATAAAATAAAAAATTCATGTCACATCTAGTTTTGTAGATTTTTTTATATAATTTTTGAATATATAATTTTAATTTTTTAATTTTACACATGAATTTAAATAAATTGAATGGAAAAATAAAATTGGTCAACAACAAACCTCTCATTTTGAATAAAAATAAAAATATTAAAGTTGAGACATATTTTTATTCAAACCGACATGAATTTCATGCACAAGCCATGCATGCAGCTCAATAATATAAATGGACCACTCTCAACATACACCTAAGTTATACTGTCTTATTTGATTTCTATCCTTTTGTTAAAATGTGTCCATTTGGATATTTAAATTGAGGTTTTTTTAGATAGAATAATTAGAAATTTAAAACTAACGTAATAAAACAAGTTAATATGTATTGATATCCATGCAGGGAGTTGGGAATCAGTGCTCCAACTTGCCTTCCAAAGCTTAGGGTTTGTGTATCTCGGCTCTATGCATTCCCCGGCAATTTTACTAACACTATGTTTGATTTAAAAAATTTAGAAAGAAAAGAAAAGAAAAGAAAATTATTTTCTCACATTTTCTTCATCAAAATGAGAGGAATTTAGTTTTCCCTCCTCTTAAGATATTTTGCCTTCTCATTTCATTTTCCTTTCACTTTTTCTTTTCTTTTCCTCTTTAACCAAACAAGAGAAAATGTCTTCCACCTCATTTTCTTTTCTTTTCCCTTTCAAATTCCTTGAACCAAACATAGTGTAAAGGGTCCATTTGGTTCGGGGGTAAGGAAAACGAGAAACAGAATGGGATTCTCCGATTCCATTTGTTGTCGTTTGTTTTAAAAAAATTCATTCCATTTCACCATTGTTTGGTTTGGGATTACCCTTTTTCGCCTCTTTCGATTCCACGCTCCCTATCGGGTTTTCCCATTCCCCTCTTCCCCTCCCATTTCTTATGAGTACCCAAATACCCCGGAGTAATTTCATAATTGTTTGGTCAAACATCTCTAAAAATGTGAATCTTTTACGTTGAATTAATCTGTTTATATTGTTACATTGCCTCGTTTGTTACTAAATTTATTATAGTACTGATTGTTTAATTGATTACCACGTCATACCTCCCACTTATTTGTTGCCTCGAAAAAAAAATAGTCTTCCAACAAGCTATTCTCTAGTGAAATATCCTCAATTGTTCTGGCCATTGAGTTTGTAGTATGCATAATACCTTTATGTTGTCTCAACTATATTTCACATTGAGAGAGTTAATTATGGGGTAATTAATAATTGATACCCCAACTTATCAAGACTCTCCCAACAAGGATAAGGATGAAATGGACTTAATATTCCATTTCTAAATCTCACTAGAAAAACAAAATGTACTCTATTCTTCTCTCTCTTATTCCCTACCTTGTTAATATTTGTTTTATAATTATTTTTTTTATTTTAATTTATTTGTTTAGGCCATAGAAAATAAATTGAAAAATATATATAAAAATAAATGACTTGAATTTACTATTTAATTAAAAAATGACTTTAACAATCAAACTATTTTAGCCTTAACTTATTTTCAATTTCTTAGTAATCATACCCGATCTTTAATTTTCGGGTGTTCGGTAATATTTTGGTTCTTCAATTTTCGGGTCAATTCAGGCTCAGTTTCGAGTTATTCGATTCGGATTATTAGGTCGGGTCAGTTTTACGAGGTCTAAGTACATACACTTACGCAAACTTAATTTACTCCAATCTTTCTTCCTTCCTATCCAGAATATGGGCTAGTTGGTCACTATGGCTTTTTTGCTTCAAAAGGATGATAAATATGAATGTCCCATAAGTGATTGTTGGCATGATTATCTTGAGCAATCAAACAATCACCTCTAATACATGCATCAAAGTTTAACATCAACTGTTCTTAATCCATGTAAGAAATTAAATGGCAAAAACATGGTGCTAACGGCATGGCAAAATCATATACCCCGGAGCAATTATCAATAATCATTGATGTAGTAAATATCAAATATACAAATTATACAAATAGTTTCAATGAAGCAACCAAAGAATACCCCTGGGAATTGGGTGGGATAGAATGGCATGGACAGATGAACTAATAGCATAAAAAAGGCAAAGTGATGATCAATTGAAGTCATCTCACTCTATTTACACACTTGAAAATTTTAACCTTGAAATAATTCAAGCCAGGCAGTTTTTTAAACCACATTTTTCATTACGACATTCAATAAGTGCAAGTCGTTTACATTCAATACCTACTCAGGAAACGAAGGTTGAAGCTCCAAGTGCATCCGCCGGCCTACTCTAGTATTAACACACCCGCCCCGCATGTGGCACACATAGTCCGAACAAGCCATTGGGTAAGGCACAGCGCATGGAATGGGTGGAAGCATGGTAGGAACATCGGTAGCTCCTCACCCGGCTCGTACTGCCCCAAGCAAATGGCGCAGCTGTCCGTCGCCCCGTCTCCCGCGGCAGGATCGAAGGTGCACCGCGGGAAACCTGCCACAAAGTCCGTAGACGCTAGCTGCGTGGCGAAGGCAATCACCGCCTCGCGGCGCACCCGTTGACGGTGGAGCACGATGTGTCGGACGAACCAAATGAGGACGAAGGCGGCAGCCACGCCCACCACCAAGATGACGATAAGCCAGCCCGATAATGAGGGCGTCTCTGGCTCAGTAAAGACCCTAGACATGACAGTGGAGGAGAAGTGGTGAGAAGGAAAGCAGGGTGGTGAATGAAGTCTGATCTGTTTATATATATATATATGTATATATATCCAAAATCATTGGGGAAAGATTCGGACATAAGGGGAAAATTTGATAGGATGTGTAACCGATTGGGATGAGTTTTAAATTGTTTTGCGTTGAATTAATCTGTTTATATTATTACATTGCCTCGTTTGTTACTAAATATATTATAGTACTGATGTCTAATTAATAATCATTGTTACATTGCCTCGTTTTTTTGTTGCCTAAAAAAAAAAGAGTCTTCCAACAAGCTATTCCTACTAGACATTGAGTTTGTAGTAGAGCTAGAAGTTTAATAGTAGTTTATTAACGGATAATACCTTTATCTTGTGGAGTAATTAATAATTGATCAAACTAACTTATCAGGACTCCCATAAAGGGTAAAGATGAGATGGAATTAATATTCCTTTCTAAATCTCACTAAAAAAAATTACTCTATCTTTCTCTCTTATTCCCTACCTTGTTAATATTTGTTCTATAATTAATTTTTTTATTTTAATTTATTTTTTTAGGCCATGGAAAATAAATTGAAAAAAATATATAAAAATAAATGACTTGAATTGACTATTTAATTAAAAATGACTTTAACAATCAAACTATTTTGGCCTTAACTTATTTTCAATTTCTTAGTAATCATACTACTAAAAAGTAAATAAAGGTGAGGCTGAGGGAGATTAATTGGGTGCCTATGAAGGTGTTATTGTGATTGATGTCAGGAGAACCCTAATTGAGTGCCTATGAAGGTGAGGCTGAGGGAGATTAATTGGATGACAACAAAGAAAAAATGAAAAAAATGAAAAAAAGATTAGACGGGATCAGGTGGGTGGAAGAGAAATGAATGGAAGAAAAAATAAGAACCACTTACTAGAATCATTTCTCTTCATTCTTAATAAATTAATAACTGTTCCCTCCAAGAAAAATAATATGTACTTCCTTCACCCTGAAATTAAATATTCATTTCAATCAACGGGTAAAATCTCATGACATTCAAAATAATTTTATCTAGAAATTTGTATTGAATTAAAATAGTAAGGATAAGGATGGTAAAATTTAAAGTAATTAAAATAAAACATTTCATAAAACATATGGAAGCATGTCCAAAAATGCTTAAGATGAAGTCGGTAGACTCACCAAAAGCAATCTTTCCAAGACCAGGAAGTTCACATGTGCAATAATAAAAAAGAATGATTACGTTAAGCTTGTTAAATCTCTAGGTAACATCCATCCACTTATAAAGAGGGGAGAGTTCAACATCAAAGCTCTCTGTTCTTAGTCCATGTAAGATATGGCAAAAACATAGTGTGAATGGCATCAAAAAATCATATAATAATCAATTTTCATTCATGTAATAATTCTCAAATATAACAATGCAACCAAAGAATACTCCTAGGAATTGAATGGGATAGAATGGGCAAATGAACTAATAGCAGAAAAATGGAAAAGTGATGATCAATTAAACTCATCTCACTTACATACTTTAAAATTTTTACCTTAAAAAAATTCAAGCCAGGTAGTTGTTTTACCACATTTTACATTACATTCAATAATAAGGATCTAAAAATAGAATAATGTGCCTATGCCTTTCAGATTCGTTGACACACAACTAAATGAATATTTTAAATAAGGGGTATAAAGGAAAGAGAGAATGAGTAGCTCTTCGTCATGCAACATAATCTCCATTGTAATAAAAAAATTGCTGTCCAATTCAACCTTTCTATAGCAGCTTCATTTTTCTGAGATATTTACAACTTGATACTCAATTTTCTTTAAATCTCTAATTTAAGAATGCTTTAAAAAGACAGCAAGAGTGGTTTAAAGACGTTGAATGCGATTCTAAATGAACAAAAAAAGTGTCTTAAGAAGAAAAAATAGCATCACCTTGTGAAAAGCTCATTAGAGAACTTTGACGAACACTTGGCGTGCATGCTCCATTTTGATTCCCAAACATCCCAAACTTGCCTGCCCCAACATCTCTGCCTTATTTGTAGATTCACAAACATCCCAAATTAGTTTTTCTGTACCTGAAATCAATGAAATCAAAAATATAACTAAAAAAAAGTCAAAACCTTGATATTGCCGCCAGTAGTTGCTCCTCTTTTGCCAGTAGTTGTATGGTTTGTTAGTGTTTTCCTTTTCGGGATGTGCACAGCCGCTGCTTCCGTATGTTTTTGTGAATGATGTAAGGAGAACCCTAATTGAATGCCTTTGAAGGTCAGTCTGAGGGAGATTAAATGGATGAAGAGAAGAAAGAAAAAAAATGAAAAAAGATTAGACGTGGGTCAGGTGGGTAGAAAAGAAATGAACGGAAGAAACATAAGAACCACTGGCTAGAATCATTACTCTTCATTCATAATAACCGATCCCTCCAAGAAAAATAATAAGTACTTCCTTGGTCTTAAAATAAAATAATTATTTCAATAAACATGTAAAATCTCGTGACATTGTAAATAATTTTATTTACAATTTTGTACTGAATTAAAAAATAAAAATCATTTTGGGACACAGGGAGTATATAATAAGGATAAGGATTGTAAAATTTAAAATAACTAAAATAAAACATTACATAAAACATACGGAAGCATGTCCAAAAATGCGATTTCTATCACAAACAATTATTTATGAGCAACTAACTTTGTCAAACTATTTTTTCCTAATGGCTAACACAACCAATCAGTCAAAAAGCTAATTCAATTGGTCAGTCAAAACAGTCAACAGAAATAGCAAAAACCAAAAGCAAACCATTATTTCCCAAACAAGTCCATAGCTAGGCTAGCTTCGTTTGGATCTTGGCAGATCGGCCGAAATTTGGCTTCTTTGAACAAAAACAACTTATTTGAGTACTAGTCCAACAACTAATATTGGCGTTTGTATAAGAGCTTAGGAAGAAGCCGTACACTCACCAAAAGCAAGCTTTGCAAGATAAGGAAGTTCACATCTGCAATAACAAAAAAAAGAAGGATTACATTAAGCTTGCTAAATCTCTAGGTAACATCCATCCACTTATAAAGAGGGGAGAATTTAACATCAAAGTTCTTTGTTCTTAATCCATGTGAGAAATGAAAAAAAATGGTGCTAATGGCATCGTCATATAATTATCAATTATCATTCATGTAATAGCTCTCGAATATACAATTTATACTTATAGAAATAGTTTTAACAATGCAACCAAAGAATACCCCTAAGAATTGGGTGGGATAGAATGGGCAGATGAACTGATAGCAGAAAAAAGTAAATTGATGATCAATTGAACTCATATTACTATATATACATACTTGAAAATTTTCACTGCCCATTCTCTTGCTCTTGCCACAAGCCCACAATAGCCATCGACCCTGTTTTGTAGTACTCTGTAGCAGCCAAATGTCTCTGCTATAGTGCTATGCCGCTACCAGTTAATGGATGCCACCTAATCATTTTAACATACACAATGTAATAGAGAGATGACCATTAATCATATACCTCTGGTTTTTAATCATCCAGACTATCAATATACTCTCTGTCATCCCAATCTGCAGGCTGCACAAGAAGAAAAAGTTGTCATCTACAAATTTCGGGATCTTGATTTACTACTATAGATAGAGTAAACATGCATGTCAACAATAGAGATTGACATTCATTTTTAAAAAACACTCCCTCCATCCCAAAATTAAAGTTGCTGTTTATACCTTCATGGAATTTAAGGAAAGTGTTTAAAAGTAAAAAGTGATGCTTAGAATTTATTCCCTCCGTCCCAAATTATTAGCCACATTTGCTTTCTAAACAGTCGCGGAAACTTTTGTTTATTTCTACGTTTTCATTGGTTATTTGATAAAATAAAATATTCTTGACACCTCTTATCTCGAAGAACTTTTCATGTAGTTTTTTGATATGTAATTTTTATTTTTTATTTCTTTACCAATATCTAAATAAAATGAATTAAAAAAACTTGATATTTTGCCTCGGTAATAGAAATGTGACAAATAATTTGGGACGGAGGGAGTATTTATAAGAGAGAAATATAGTGAACCACATTTTCTATTCCTAAAAGGGGAATATGAGAAGTTATCAGAGAGATGTTTAGAATTTATTTATAAGAGAGAAATATGGTGAGCCACATATTCTATTCTCTTGCCACGATAGCCATCGACTCTATCATTCCACTTGGATTTGATTTTATTAACGTCTAGGTCTAATATGATTGTAATTATATTTAAGAATAAGTTGAACTCTTCAAGAGAACAAGTTCTTTGTTTGTGTCTCTCAGTATTGGTTGTTCAAAATTTATTTGATGTGTTTGAAATTTCCAGACGGGGTGTATGTAACTGTTTAAAGGTCTCAAATACCAACTCTTTCATTGCAGAAGAAATTATGGCTTTCTTGGCGACAGGCGAAGTGTGTGATTCTAATGCAGCATATCGTGGGAGTGGTGACTTACGGGTCCTGCATCCCAATTCCAGATCTTCGAGCAATGTCATTCATTTTCTGGCCTCATTGTGACTCTAAAGGTGTTCGAGGATAATGTCTTAGTGAGGGAGATTCTATATGTTAAAACTTAGAATATATGTGAGCCCGTGCGAAGCACGAGGTTGATACTAGTTTTTTTGGTATAGTGTTACAATTTTAAAGACATAAATGAGAAATTCTAAAGATCTTTTGAGTGATTGTTAGTTTAATTTGACCGTACTTTTAACGATGATCCAAAGCTCACACACGTGTAAAAGTGTAAGATTATTTCCCGTTAGCTTTATCACTTTTTATTTTGTAGAATTTTTATATAATTTTTAAAACTTTAATTTTAAAAAAATATACTGCATATCAAATAAATAAAATTAAAATTAATTCCTATCAAATTCATTAATGATTATATATTTGGGAAGATGTGAGCATTTATTAAGAATGATAAATAATCAAACAAATGAATGAGAGGATAAAAAATCTATTGTAAATTTTAGGTTAAATATTATTTGCAATATATCTTACTAATTTGTATGAAAAGAGGATATGAGGTTGTATATTTAATTGAATGTATGAGGTTATTTTTATCTTTATATATATTGATGAATATAATTGTTAAGGAGATAGTGAGATGGAATTGAGAGTAAAAAATTTTGAAACATAATTGAACTAAGATGTAAATTGATGAACTAAATTACATATGTATCTATACAGTAAATTTTTTAAAGAAATTTGAAAATAAAATATTTATAATATGATACTAGTTATGGAGTAAATAAAGTTATTCTCTAATTTGTAAAGTACAGAGTATATTTTTTTAAAAGAAATCACCCAATTAAATGATAGCCTATTACAAGTAGACATTAAACTAAGAGCCCATTCAGCAAGAGTTTTTTTTTTGGCAGAAATGGATCATAATCAAGGAAGGAGGTATTTTTTACCTGTATAAGACCCTCAACGCGCCAACCCTGGTGCTTTAGAACCACAATCTGCAAATCATGGGGATGCAATGATTGAAGCTCATCTCTCAGACTCTCACAGATTGAATATTGGCATTGTGTTCTGTTGACAGCGGTGACTCCTCTCACCGCTCTATCTGCTCTCCCTAAGACCACGCGAGACTCCCGCATTTGCAACGTAGAGAAGCCCATCATATATCACTCCCGCTAAACAACACAATCCCACTGACGCAATTTGTGGCTTATAGTGCCAATCTCGCTTCACAATAGACAAGAAGTCTTCTTTGGTTGCCAAGAAATCCTTTTTTATGGTGTCTGCACACATCTCTTGATCCTCAGAAGCAGATCCTATGAACACCAATGTTTTATGTGTGAAGATTGTATGGCTTAACGTAATCAACAATCAAGAGTCTTGCTCTAAAACAAAAGCTACTAAAGAAAATCTAATACTTTGGTTTGTATGCGTATATATATTTGGTGTGGAACGACTAAGGCCTTGTTTGGGAACTCTGAAAACGCTAAAGCTAAACAGTGCCATTAGATAGATTTTTCAAAACAATAAAGGTAAAGGGTGAAGGTGTTGCAAAGCGGTAAATGAACAGATATAGTAAGGAAATATTCACAAATTAGGGAAGAGGGGCATACTCTTGAGCTTGGAGAACAAGGTGTCTCTAATGAACCGGGACGTCTCAGGTCCTCCATGGCCATCATAGACACCAACAAATGTTCCTTCAGGGCCGGAATCAATAGAACTCAAGGGTCCGGATTCAAGCTAGCTTTGATCCTCCAAGAAAGCATTGGCTTGTATAACAGCCATGGAGAACTCCCCACCTGGCTTTGATCCTCCAATCATATTAGATCTAACTGGATCTTCCTACAATTGATCTCAAAGTTTTTTTATGTTGATCGGGTTTTTAAAAAAAGGATGAATCTGATTGCATTTGATTTGAACTGATTGGTTTTGAAGCCCTGAAGATCCAGTTTGTTGGCGAAAGGTGGCAGCAGCTTTGAGCTCTTCCAAGTTTTTAGCAACTAGATCAGGATGTTTGCAAGCATCACATGAATTTCCACATACAGATGCAGATACCTAGTTGCCAAGTCAATAAATGCAACTAAATTACTACAAAACAAAACTACAGGGTCTGTTTGAAACAAAGACTTTTGGAGGCGTTTAAAATCAAAAGGATTTGGAGGGCTTAGTTTATATTGCGAATTCTTGATATACGCCTTCCATCCCGAAATAAACTTCACTTTTTTCCGTCATTCCCAAAATAAAATTTACACTTTGCTTATTTCCTTTAAAGAAAAGGAATGTCTAGCTCATATCACTTCTCTTTCTTCTACACAAATTCAGACAATACACTTCGCTTCTCAACCCTTTTCTTCAACTTTGTGAAGTCAAACCATGAAGTTTATTTTGGGAGTATATATTTAAAAATTCATAAAAATTGAAAGATTCATATTATGTGATCATATAAAATTTCAATCACCTTTTATTAGTTTTCAAAAACATTCTGTTTCTAAAAACGTGTACTCTGTACTTCGTGTATATTTAGCCCATAAAAGTTCAAGCCCCTCCAAAATCCTCCATCCATACAGACCCTACGAAGACACAACTAGACAGTACTATAAATAACCCAGGTATACCATCTCCCCGAAGCTCTAAAGGATCTTTTTTCGGCAACATCCAGATTCTTCAGAATACTTCACTACCTGATTGCAGAAACCTTTTAAAAAGGATGAATCTGAGTGTTGAAGTCAATCAGGAATGCAAAACATGGCACCGAAGGAAAAGCCCCTCACTTTAGAAATGGCACTGAAGGAAAAGCCCCTGTAGGTTAATAAGTAAGCAAAACATATTATGGAAAAGAAAACACATAATCTGGAATGCAAAAACAAATCCAAATAGATGGAACATCTCTTATAGAGAAATAGAGAGCAAACAAACATGTATGTTAACATCAAGTCCTAGCCCCGAATACTAGAAATGACAAGATAAACAGGCATAGCAGTCAAGTTTTAAAATAAGTAGAGCAAAGAACATAAATACCAATGAAATTTATTAGTTTTAACTAAAAAGATCAACAGCATAAATACCAATGAAATGGACAAATACAAATACTAGATATTCCAAATTTTTCCTTATTGCTATGTGAAATTTGAATATAGTATCAATCGGATGGACTTTAATACGAATATCAGAAGACCTCTTATCCGTCTCCCAAAAAAAGGCTAGAATCTAGAGAAGGAGCTGGACTAGAGGACAATGATCGGAAAGATTTGGTGTGGAAATAGTACTTAGTCCCAAACTGTTCCTGCTAACTCCCAAACCTGGCACACAACATGATTGATCATTGCAAGAGGATTAACAATCACTTGAGCCTTTAGACAAGTCAGATGAATCGCCGTTTATGCAAAGGGCTGGAAGGTTTCTTTTCAATGGCCTCCTAGATTATAATCATATGTATGCATAGAGAGTGAGCATGGACAGGATCCTTTGCATAGAATTGACTTTATAGTCAGAGAATGTTTTAATAGGGCAGCAACTGGTGAAATTAGAAAACAAACATACACCATGGTTAAGACCTTTACATGCCCAACCAGAGTAAAGTGTTACAAGAGAAGCATCAGATGCAGGAGCTATATGGTAAAATTCATAAAAGGACTTAAACTTATGTAAATGGCACCCACCAATAGATAGCCTATAGTGGACTAAAGTAATGTAAGATACCCGCTAACTGCATATTATGTAGTAAGTTCTGTGCTTCATCTTCATTCAATGAGCCAACAAGCCATGGCAATACACGCTCAGTCAACTTCAGTGGCATCAGACATATGCTCTCGTACAAGATTTCTCTCGGTTTTTTCTTGAAAAAACGTTTCCTGGCAAATGGCAGAACCTGGAGATTAAAAAGAAAAAAATAAAGATGGCACACAATGAAATTTGTTACATAGCTATAAAACAGAATAGAAAGTCAGGGTTAAAAACATTTGCTTGGAATATAGACATAATAAATTAATAATATTATTAAGATAGCCACTCCTAAAAGTACTTTGTTCTAGTTTTACAGTTCGCACAAAAGCTGTCTAGCAAGTATGTGGCATTTAAAAGAGAGACTGCATCCAATCTCTCATAGCCCAATAAAAACCATGTTATCAAAACATCATATACTCCTTTTGTTCCATAAAAAGGTTCTAGTTATGGTTTAGGATGTTTGACAAAAGTTATTTTCAATTCAATAAAATTGGTGTGAAATTAAAAAGTACAAATTACATCTTTACAAACAACACCAAATTCTATTAAGCAAGAGGGGACATGACAATTTATTTTGTCAATTGATCAATGAAAATATGTGATGAAAGAAAATATAGTTTGACCAGAAGATTAATGTACAACCTTTTTGTGTGACAGAGGGAGTATTAATTAACTTAACAAAGACTAAATGATGGCCGGTCTAGGGTTAAAACGGAAGGGGAAAACCTGTAGATGGCGCCTGACATGTGGTCCAATGAGATATAGACATGTAGGAAGATGATTCCTGGCAAGTGTGATGAAAATGGGTAGATGAGATCGGCTCATCTCTTCCCAAAAAATGTAGATTAGCATCTTCACATTTCTCCAATCCGTGGGAACAGATACTTATGTGAAACCCAAATAGAAAAAAAAAAATCAAAAGCTTTATAACATCCTAATCAACATATTTAAGCCTCTGTTACGCATAATCCTTTGATTGAAGAATAAAAGATGGATTATATTATATGACTACTAACACACAAATGAAGCTTACTGCATTGAAAGGATACTAGGCATAATCCTCTGTTACGCATAATCCATAGAGCACTAATCTATGGAACCATTACTGCATTGAACTATGTGTACAAGAAATAAAATCACTCATTTACACATAATTGAAACAAGAAAACGGCAGTTTAGAACACAATACTCGTAAGTCTCATAATAATTGCGTTTATTCAATGGAAAAATTGATAGAAGGGAACCAGAGAAATAAAGGAAGAGATGAGCTGATCTAGGGTTAAAACGGAAGTAGAAAACCTGTAGGTGTCGCCGGAACTTCTTCGTCGGACGGCTCTGCTGGAAGGCTGCGGCTGCGTCTGATTTAGACCTGTGCAACCCAGGCTTGATACCCATTTGCATGGGCGGGTCCGGCCGGGACATGATGGGCTAAACTTTTTACCCATACCAGCCCACCTTAGCGGGTCGGACTGCCCACCGGGCTGCCCGGCCCAAATAAAACATCAAGAAAACCTTTTTTTACACAAAAAAATCAAAAAGAAAATATTGAACTCGTTTTCAATCGCCACATCTACATAGAAAACATAATAGAAATATTGTTACATACTCCGTAATTAATAAACCTATCATATGGATTCATTAAAAGACTATTGATTTTTGTTTAAGAAGGGTGAGTGATATGAACTACTACTTATACATGAATTAAAGAAAATTTTAAAATTTATATTGTCTAGGTAATTAATAATAAAGTAAATGTATTTAATGAATATGGGCGGGCCTGTTGGCCAGGATGGGCTAAAAGTAACTTTCAGATCCGCCCAAATACAATTCGGCCTTGGGCCGGCCCGCCCAAGTGGGTTTTAAAGATTGTCCATATCCGCCCATTTTAAAGGGCGGGCTGGACGGGCCGGACGGGCCGACCCTTGTTTGCACAAGTCTAGTCTGATTTGCTGGAGATAGAGACGGTCCCCAAAAAAAATAACGGAGATAATGGAACCGTGAGATAGAAAGGGTGGAAGGGAAGCCAAAATAATTTGATTGAAGATAGGGGCCAATTTTAATAAATAAGAATACTTTGAGTGTTTAAGATGTGAAATTTATTAATGTAACATATGAAAGCATGCACACTGCAAGGATAACTAATATGTCCCTCCCTCCTCCAAATCTTTTGTTTTTTGTTAAATAATGATACTTTTTTATCATAAATTAAATGTAATCTAAATAAATAAATTTTATAAAAAATCAATATATCAATTTATATTCTAAGAGAAACTCAATTATATTGAATTTATTTTGTAATTCAATATAAGTTTCTCATAATTTATAATACTCCGGGGTAAAAAAGTATGTTTGACTGAAAAAGATCAAAACAAGAATAATTCTACGGAGAGATCGAGTACATGAAACCGAGATAAGAGCAACTAGTCAAGTAATGCAACTTTTGACGTTGAGCCGGGGGTCTCTCTACTTTCGAGTAGGAGTAAGGTTTGCGTACACACACCCTCATCATACCCTATTCTTGTGGGGTTTAACTGAATTGTTGTTGTTGTATTGGAAAACTTTAATAAAAATGAAGTTTTCTAAAAATAATTTTAAAATGAGAATTTACATCTGAAATGGTAAGCGTGTGAAGTTTGCGACAGTTTTACTTGTGAACCTAGCATTGCTTATTGTACAATATCTAGAAAAAATTGATTCAAGTTTAATAAAAAGATACTTTTTAAAAAGTTATTTTTAGAAGCAACTAAGTAAATTCTTTATATATAAATTTGACAGTCTTAACTTTAAGAATTTGACAGTCTTAACTTTAAATTCTTTAGAATCCATGCACTTTTTAGTTAAATTCACTTCTTTCATGTTAAATCGAAATGTTGGTTCCATTTCGATTGATGGTTGAAAATGTTGAGGAATTGAAGTGATTTAGTCCTCAATTTTTACTACGGAGTATTTAGTTGCGTTAGCTTGAGCCTCCTTTCTAGGGTTTTGGGATTCAGAATTACTCTCTTTGTCAAAATGCTGCTTAGGTTTTGTTGCTAGAGGAATTTGATTATATTTGGGAGACACTATAGTGAGCCTGTTTAGGAGTATTGATCTTTGCCTTGATTCTTTGGATTCACCCAATTGAAAAAGCCTAAGGCAAAACATATTTTGCTTGTCTCTGTGTTGTTAAATTGGTTCTGTAAAAAGAGTTCCCTCCTGCACTAGAGCAGATCATAATTCAGCATGCTTATGGATTGTTTTGCCTTTGCATTCAATTCGAAATTACCTATTCAATGAGAACCCGTGAACAGTGCTCCAACGATATTCCATTCTTGCCCTATTTCCCCTGCATTAGATGGAACCTTGTTTGACTATTGCCTGTGCATTCTTGATTATTTTCTGCTGTGCAGATTTAGAATGGAAGCTCATTTATGTTGGATCGGCTGAGGATGAAACCTATGATCAACTTCTTGAAAGTGTACTTGGTGGGCCAGTTAATGTTGGAAACTACCGTTTTGTTCTGCAGGTATGACCTATTTTTCCACTGCAAGCAAAACATGGAAGGCTCATTCATTAGCATACTTTAGTTACACCATGGTTCATCTTATGTGTGCATACAGGCAGACCCTCCTGATCCCTCAAAAATCCGAGAAGAAGATATAGTTGGTGTGACTGTACTCCTGTTGACATGCTCGTACTTGAACCAGGAATTTTTACGAGTTGGATACTACATAAACAATGACTATGATGATGATAAGCTAAGAGAAGAACCACCAACAAAGGTGCAAATTGACAGGGTTCAGAGAAACATATTTTCAGATAAGCCTAGAGTCACGAAGTTCCCCATTAATTTCCACCCCGAAAAGAATAGTAAAAGTGCTGATGCTAAACAAGCCCCCCCTCCACCTGATGATCAGCCCACTGGACAGGAACAGTAACCATTTGGTCTTCGTTCTTTCATCTGACATTTTTTGGTTTTGATTCTGATGAAGCTGTTCATCCATCATGAAGACATGCCATTTAAACTCTTTTTTTGTGTGTCTCTCTCCATCACACAGCACTGTCAATCAGATGTCAACTGCCGACCTCAATTGGCATCCTGCTCCCCTAGCAACAACGGATGCAGAACCGGGAAGCGCGCCTCTGACCCAATCGCCTACAACAATCCCACCATTGGATGAATAAGAAGACGGCGGCAAACACACTGATTAATGGTTAGTTTGTGAATTTGTTTAGGGGATTTTTTATATTAATTACGTAGTACTCCGTTAATTGATTTGAATGTATAGAATATGTCCTGTCCGAAAACCCAGAATTGAGGACTCATCTACCAAAAATTGCTTGGAATGTTCAATTATACTAGCTCTCCAATGTTGAAATGATAACATAAATGTAGACAATTTTGAAGTTGATATGTCGGTAATATAAACATAAACTTATATTGAAGTATTAGTTTCCAATAATTATTTTACGTCAAAGAAGAATAGAGAAGACTACTGGAGGTGCCTGTTTGACCGAAGATCCTTGACATTTTTTGTCTTTTTCTTGGATTCAGGCAATGCCCTATTTCCTTCTTGAAGGGGTGAGTTGTAGAGGTCTTATTTCCTCTTTCAGTACTTCCCCTCTTGGATTTGCTTTTGTGCTGATTTACTCTGTTCAGAATTCAGATGGAGTGACCAGAAGAGCTGCCATCCGCTTCCATTCCCACATTGGAACTATTTTACTGATAAGAAACATCGAATAAAAAATCGGAGATGGATGAAGTTTGTCTTTGTCACTTGTCAGTGTGTCCGGGACGTGAAATCTTAATTTTTTTAAACTGGGTGGCGGAGAGTTTCGAACTCGTGACCTCTTGGTCATCAAGGCTCTAATACCATGTCAAGAAACTAACTCAACCAAAAGCTCAAGCTTGTGGTTGTGGCCCAGGAATGATTGTTATATACTCTAACATGTACGAGTGGGCGCATGACATGTTCGATCTATATATTTCTGGTTAAACAAACTACCCCAATAAATACCCCACAGATCTTCTTCCTTCAACACCGCTCCTCTCTCTCTCTCATTCCCATACACTACTCTTTCTCTTCCTTCAACACCCCTCCTCTCTCTCTCTCTCATTCCCATATAGTCTGCTTTTACCTGACTACTACTACCACCACCAACGTCAGGTTATCCTAGGGCCTTCACCCCGCAGGACAACTCCTCTTACGACAAGCTTATCCTCATTGCGTTGCTTGTCGGCGCCATCTTACTTTACTACGTCGGCTGGCTCGTGTTCTGCCATCGCCGGAGGCGTCGCGAGGCGGAGGCCGCCACTGTGCCGAGAGACTCTTTGGAGCTGGTCTCACGTCTCCCGCGCCGCCCCTTCGATCCAGCGGCGGGAGACGTGCCAGATAGTTGTGCAATCTGCATGGAGGAGTTTAAGCAGAGTGAGGAGCTATCAATATTCCAACCGTGCTCCCACTCCTTCCACGTGCATTTTATTGCCAAGTGGGTGTCTCACAATACTTCCGGATCGTGTCCCATATGCCGGAGTGTTATTGGGTCTCAGGAGTAGGCCGGCGGGCAAGAGGGCACTCCGGCAGAGTCGTCAGCTCGGCTCCGGCCGCTTGGTGGCTTTGTGAATTTGTTTAGGGGATTTTTTTATATTAATTACGTAGTACTCCGTTAATTGATTTGAATGTATTGAATATGTCCTGTCCGAAAACCCAGAACTGAGGACAGCTCATCTACCAAAAATTGCTTGGAATGTTCAATTCTACTAGCTAGCTCTCCAATGTTGAAATGATAACATAAATGCAGACAATTTTGAAGTTGATATGTCGGTAAACATAAACTTATATTGAAGTATTAGTTTCCAGTAATTATTTTACAGTTTCTACTGAACATTAAATTTTAGGTTTGCATTTTTTTTTGTTGTGAAATTACTTCATCTTTGTTGAAGTTGATTATATTTTCTGAAAATTGGTCGAGATACACGTATATTTTAGGTAAGATTATTAATTTAATTAAGGATTGTTGTTTATGGTAGCTAGAATTATTCTCTCCTTATTTTTAGCTTTGCCTTGTATAGAGACCTTCCTTGTAGAGGAGTCTTCTCTTTACCTTGTATATATGGAGCAATTCTTCTTGAATACAAACATGAAATTACTCCTAAATTAGTTTCTTCATGGTATCAGAGCATTCTTCCGCTGTTTCTTCTTCCTTTTCCGTCGACAAATCGACGTTTAAAAGAAAACGCAAAGCATGGCAGAAACTCCTGTCAAAAGCAAACTTATTGATCCTACTTCACCATTTTTCTTGCATCCCTCCGTCACTCCCGGCGCTTCTCTTAGTAGTGTTCATTTGAAAGGTGATATAAATTATCGTGAATGGGAGAGTTCGATGAAGAATGCGTTGCGGGCTAAACGCAAACTTGGGTTCATTGATGGAACTCAGACACTGTCTCCAGCGGCTGCGGCTCATGACGTTGATTAGGGGTGGGCACGGGTCATGACGGTTTTGGTTTCTTACAATCCTGCGTCCTGCCCCGTTATATTCAAACGGTTCGGAACGGTTCGAACCACAAGCCTATCCCACTTTGTCCCATAATTTTCGGGAACGGGACAAAACGGAACGGATTCGGATTGTCCTACTTTTTCCTAATTTTAGGACAATAATAAAAATTGAAAACAAAAAGATTGAAAATAAATGCTACAACAATGTCAACAAGTATTAATTGTTAAGTACTTAAAATGTTTCACGAGATACGTACGGAGTAATAGATGTGTGTTTATATATATATATATATATATATATATATATATACACACACACACACACACACACATATATATATATAATGTTTTTAGAAGAGTATATAAAATGGGACAAACGGGATGGAACGGTACACTTGTATGTTATCCCGGTAATGTCCCACTTAAAATCGGGACAGAACGGGTTCGGGACAAAAAAATTTGAATCCAAAAAAAAAGGTACAATTTCAAAACGGTTCCGGCACGTTTCGGAACGGGTCAACGGGAACGGTTTTCGTGCCCGCCCCTACCAATGGCTGATAGGCGTTGGAGGAAATATAATGTCACTAGTATAAGATTGGATCCAATTTGGCAATGGATTCATTCACTTTCCTAAAAAGCTATTTACTCCTTCCGGTAATAGTTCGGGATAAAATGATGAAGATGAAGATCGGAAACCACGGTCACAATGTCGCCAGGAGGTCGCCGCTCCCTCACAACTTCCGATCAGACAGACAATTCGTGGGTTTCGTTGTGGATCGTCGGATTCGTAATAGTTGTCTGTATATTGCTCACCATACTCCTATCATGGTTACTCCGCCGTCACCGAACGACGGGAACTTCCTCCTCTGCCGCCGCTGCAGCGGCCGCCGCACTGCGTGACGCCGTACCGGCGGCTTCATTGGCCGCTATTGGAGATACACGTATATTTTAGGCAGAAGAATGCTCACTCCTAAAATATGCTATTGGAGATACACGTACCGGAGCATTCTTCTGCCTAAAATATACGTGTATCTCCAATAGCGGCCAATGAAGCCGCCGGTACGGCGTCACGCAGTGCGGCGGCCGCTGCAGCGGCGGCAGAGGGGGAAGTTCCCGTCGTTCGGTGACGGCGGAGTAACCATGATAGGAGTATGGTGAGCAATATACAGACAACTATTACGAATCCGACGATCCACAATGAAACCCACGAATTGTCTGTCTGATCGGAAGTTGTGAGGGAGCGGCGACCTCCCGGCGACATTGTGACCGTGGTTTCCGGTCTTCATCTTCATCATTTTATCCCGAACTATTACCAGAAGGAGTAAGTAGCTTTTTAGGAAAGTGAATGAATCCATTGCCAAATTGGATCCAATCTTATACTAGTGACATTATATTTCCTCCAACGCCTATCAGCCATTGGATTCAATCTAACATCTGACATCCATCGCCCATCAGCCTTTTGATCAGTTCTAATATCTGACATCATTCTAGAATTTACTCTTTCTTTTTCCATCATTTTCCTTTTTTTTTCCTCTTTTGCATTTATATTTTTCATTTTTTCCCACTTTTACATTTCTATGGTGGAGATGGAAGGGGTACAATACTCTAGTATGTTTGTTACTCCCTCCGTAACGTTATATTCGTCAATTTTTGAATTTTGGAACTGTTCATACAAGGACTTTAACTCATCAAATTCTCTTAATGTGTAAGCCTAAATATAGTCATGTTTGATCTTGTTTTATTTGTTTTAACATATAGATTATTAATATATAATTTGTATAATTTTTTAATATACAAATTACAAGATAAAATGGATCAAAGAAGTGTATTGGATAGTGTGTAAAAATGAAAGTGGACAAATAATCTAGGACGGAAGTAGTATGTCAAATACAAAGTGATGCCACTTTTTTGTGTTCCTTAAAAAATAATCACACTTATTCGTTGCACAGAAATTAATACGTAGTATTACTCCGTATCTTTTTTCATATGTGCAAGTTTGAGTCGCCGCTAGGCTGCTACCGGCTACATGATAGGATTTTGAGAAAACATTTGTTTTTTTCATATAAACCAAAAGTCAAATTATTTTAGAGTAATTCTCTTTTTTTAGATCATTTTGTTAATACTCCCTCCGTCCCACTGTGTTTGTCCACTTACCTTTTGGCACACCATCCAATGCACTTCCTTAATTCATTTTATCTTGTAATTTGTATATTAAAAAATTATACAAATTATATATTAATAATCTATATGTTAAGACGAATCAAACAAGATCACACATGACTATTTTTAGACTTACACATTGAGAGAATTTGATGAGTCAAAGTGCTTAGATGAACAGTTCCAAAAGTCAAATGTGGACAAAAACAATGGGACGGAGGTAGTAATTATTTTTAATAAATCACTATATTTTTTAATAAATTATATGGAGTAATAATTTTCTTGAGTGCATTTCTAGTTGTGTTTCTATAATTGTGTATTAATGCTTTTTGCAAAACAACATAACAATAGTTGTGAAAATAACACAATTAATTTTCTTTGAAATTGAATTTTTATATTTATAATTCACTACGTTTTTTGTTATATTGCAATTTGTTTCATGAACAATATAACTAGAAATACTTATCGAGGGTAGGGAG